ATCGCCTGTCAATCATGTCGCACCAAAAACCCACCTTCTTATAAGAGGGAGAAAGAAGGGGACCTAAGGAGTTACAATTCAACACAAATGGTCAATTTTACTGATGACGTAAGTGACCAAACATTTTACTCGGCCGCAGCTGGTAGACTCATCTCATCTCTCACCAGAGAGGCTTTTGAGTCATCTACATACGTCAAGCCTGTATGTAAGAGGAGCCAAAAGAACTCTTTTTGCATCAAATCGCCTGACAATCATGTCGTACAAAAAGCTTACTCATTAATAAGAGGAAGAAAGAAGAGGGCCTAAGTAGTTACAATTCAACACAAATAGTCAGTTTTACTGATGACTTAAGTGACCAAACATTTTTCTCGGCAAAACAACCTCCTGAAACAAAGTCCTGATACTCCTAAAACACCTAGAATCCTACAAAATAAGCGATGTTACTAGTCTGAAGTCACGGCTTGTTAAGGTGAACAGGATTCTATCTCGACTAAGGACCAGTGCATAGTAAAACCCCATCAAAGCGTCTACAATAAGATTCTGCAGCCTCCCACTGTATGCAAGCCAGATGTGTCCCTGCGACTCATCGCCTAATTCCGAGGCATGCCCTCATACGGACTTGAAAACAGGTTATTTCAGAAGGCGAGGTTCCTACCAAACATAAGTACAAGTAGGAGAACAATTCCTCGATACAATACGGTCACAATCATACCGAGTAAAATTGATAGGAGTGTTTTACTTTAAGCTGGAAAACCCTTCAACCATATTACAGTATACTTATTTAAACTTATCATATGACCACTAAAATATAAGCACCGGCGTATGAAACCAATCAATAAGGTCTCTCGCGGTAAAATCTCGCTGAAATGGAAAGCTGTTGGATCCAAAATAATCAAGTTAATGGCCAGGATCATATTTGCAACCACACACCTATGCATTATAGGTGGATTGATAGGGCACAGTTCGTCTTCGTTGTGCAGAGTTCGGTAAGGAGGCAATCCCAGTAATATCAATGTTTTAGACACCATCCATTGTTGCTCTTTGGCACAACAACAACCACCGTAAGTAATTGATCATAAGATGACATTGACGTTAATAACAATATCTACAGGAAACTTTCGGCAGATTTAGAAGAAGGAAGAACCGCCAGTTATGTCGCGGGAACATGGGAAAATTAGGGGAAACCATCTCATATAGTATCTGGAGACTAACAATGACCATCTGGAGTATTCAAGAAAAAGGGGATGGACGCTGCAAGCAATGACAAAGCCCTATACAAAATCGAAAACAGTGGAGCCGGAGTAAATTGTAAAATGTTACGTGAATGGTTTTCGTTTGAAAAGACATGCACTGCAATCGGCAACATATTTTCTCGAAAAGTGACGAAGACTTATGCGAATGCGAAAGATGAAAGATATCGTCAACCTACCAACTTTCGGGCGCTGAAGTGTTCAAACAGGATGTGAACGGCTTCATTTATGCGACTGACAAGTTAAAGAAGGCAGGAGACCTTAAACGAAAGACCGCATTGGCCGCAAGAGCCATAGATGCAGCGATGGCATGTTTCAACGGTCTGCAAACAGTGCATAAGCCAGGAGTGCCCCTTCGCCACCACTGTCACCTTACGTGGCACCCCGAATTTTGGACTACTGCAATTGCCCTACGAGCGGTTTTACTTCCTCCTCCAAGATTCTGAATGCATAGTGAAGGCGACTGAAGGGTTTCTGAAAAACTTTAGACATCTAGAAGATTATTCGGATGAGGTAATGGTATCGTTTGACGTGGTGTCTTCATGCACCTCCATTAAAACCGGCCTCGCCATTAGCACTACTGGTGAACAAGTTCAAGGAAATATGAGGAAGACGACCAACAAAACAAACAGAAGCACAGCAAAGAACTCTCAGAATTGTGCCTCAGGATCTTCTTCAGCTTCAACGATCTTGTTTACGAGCAAAAGAAGGAAACAGCAATGGGTTCCCCTCTGTTGGCTTTTATAGCCGAAAGAATCCTGCAGAGGCCTTAGCAACTAGTCTTCCGTTCGCACTCTTTAAAATTCAGGGCCAGATACGTCGACGATACGTTTGTCGTAATCAACAGGAATGACTTCAAGGAACCTTAGACCTTACTGAACTCCATATTCACCGATATCCAGTTTGCCATGGAAGAAGAAAGCGACAAAGAGTTGCCCTTAGTGGATGTGCAAGTCACGAGGAATTCCATGGGAAATATGCAAAATACGGTGAACCAGAAGTCAACAAAAACTAGACTCATCTTCCACTTTGGTATTAACCACCCCATTGGTCGCAAACGCAGTTGTGTCAGAACATTATTCCAACGGGTTCAAACAAACTGTAGCGATGAGTATGGAAACAAGAATGATATAGAAACTTCAGCACAAATATAGTGTTGTTTACATTGTTTTCTTCTTCATCTTCTTTTGGGGATGATAAATGGTATAAATAAATAGTTATATAGAAATAGAAAAAGAAATGAACGTACTAATTCGTACACTAATACGCGGTTCAATCTGCATACTCTGCCGAAAACGCGTATCTAGATATGCTTTTGGTGATGAGGATTGTGAGTTAAGAGTAATGGTCAAGTTTTTATAGCATAGCTATTTAAACATCGTGGGCACCACCGTATTCTTTATTTACAAAGCTTTAGGTCACACGTATAGTTTAAATGAGTTAAGGTCATCATCAATAATGAACGCGCAATTTTAGGATGGACTTTTCTACCGCACCTATCGCTGATTTAGAGGTGGATGATTTATCCGTGGGTGACGAAAATTGGTCAAATCATGTAGAAGATGCCATCAACTGCGTCCTTAAGCGGTCTATGTCTGACCCTTTTGACATTGCTGTTGGACTCAATTTGGAAGTTTCTTTGGAACGCCTTATCTGGACGTTTGATAATGATATTTCGGCGAACCTTACCAGTACGGACGCAAACAATAAAGTTGAAAAGGAGCAAGATGCACAGACTAAGCGGTCGAACGTCGATGCTATCAAGTAAGCTTTGTTTTTTTAAAACCACTAGCTTTAGGCGCTTTTGGCGCATAAGCCAAGCTCCTATTAACAATCCAATGGAAACATATCCTCTGGAAAATATTCCAAGCCTTCTTACTTCGGTAAAGAGTTATTCTATTTTTCGTATGAAATTTTCTCGTGCTTCATACCCTTTTAAACCCAAGGTTATGCTCTATTTGACCTAAACTCGAAAATATGTGACAGCATATTATGTCGTCAAGCAAACTGAAGCCTTAAAATTATTCAATCAAGATTATTCTCGATAAAAGAGGAGTTAGAATGAATTAATTCTCGTCCACGCTCGTGCGTTCTTCTGATTAATTTTCATTATATATATACAGATAAAAATATTATGTTAATTTGTAGTTGATGCTATAATCAGTAGCAAATGAGGTTAAACTTGCCTAAGTTGGCCTTTACTATAATAAGCTCCCTATAGTATTTAAGAATATATTAGCTCTTAACCCGTCTTTTGAAGTGTTTTCTCGAACTGTCTCTAAACGTTCCCATGTTAGAACCATGCATGACAACGGTTGTTACTTATCAGAAGACATTATGCGGCCGACTTTCATGAAAATGCATTGAAGATAGAAGTGCAATTTTTATTCATTAAAATACATTTGGGTAACTTTATAGAGTTTCCTCCGGCTCCAGTTTTTTATATGTAGTATCGGGGCTAATCACTGCATAACTTCGCTATGTCATGCTATATTTTATCCAGGACAAAATAAATCCTTCTATTTTTCTGCTTTATCCGATGAATCTACGCATGTGTAAAATTACTACTGAACACTTGAGTGCTCACCAAAAATCCTTAAGGGGATCATCCGAGGAGAGAGACAATGCGCGGCCTCCAAAACATAAACAATTGAGAACTGAAACGCGGATAACGGATTGCAGATAAACTACTGTCAAAATTGGTGTATATGGGTATGGCAAACGTCGAGTTTGACAAATTGTAGAAAAGCGACGAGGGCGCGGATAAAAAACGATGATGGTCAGTAAAATACGCCACACTTTGCTTGTTTTAACGTCACTTCAGAGCAAGTGCATGCACGAAAGCGGAAATGATTATGTACTGTAATCTTGATGGAATGCTACTTATCCTGCAGATATAGGTTGTTTACCTATATCACCCTGATCCACCTTGAAAATCAGGAGAACCTAAGAACCATCTTAACGTCTACATGCGGTGATCTGAACAACTACTTAGAAGAATCCGTTTCTAGTCTTGATAAAGTACCGCGCAGGGATCGTCAATTAAACACGGGCTTTCTGGAGCCCTAAGCTGCGTTCGCGTACATCTAGATGGACAAGATTACTGAAAGTGCGTGTTGCTTGGTGCCTCAGTTTCGGTTTTATAGGGCGTTTCTGTATCTTTTATAAAAACCACGTGCCAAATATGAGACCATGTACTGGCACCATTGCAGAACGTGGATTCCGTCCGTAGACGCCATAAATTGCCCCTGAATGTTTTACCTTCGCGTCCTGACAGTGAGTTGCGAGCATCGCTTTGATTGCTGACAGAAGCAATAATTCTTATTTCAAGGCCCTTGCAAACACCAACAAGAACGTTCTTGCGTTCCTAGCACAAACCATTCTGTACACTGAGAACTTAGGTGATGCCAATTATTGAGAACGTGAGTGAAAGATATTACAATATAAAAACCTTCAATCAGTTGATTACGTTGCCAACCAAAACACACCCCCGAAAGTTTCTCAATTGATGTTTAGTAGTATCGGGGACATTGCCCAGGTATATAAGTTAAGTTCAGTTTCCCTGTTTGGCACTCAACTTAAGCTCGCTGGTATGGATAGCATCTTTTGCTACAAAATATTAATTTGAAGAAGCCATGTCAGCCGCCTGATCATGCGTCCCTCGAAACAGTAACTTGGTCCCGACAACGTTCTGCGCTGCAATAAAACGGGCTTGCAGTTTTTTGGTCTGCTCTGAGTCCACGCAAGCCCGTAGCCCGTTGAAGAATTCCAGAACGTGACAGATGTAGGCACTCAAGCTGCGTCTACTCCCATCTGCAGTTTGCTGGTGCACGACAGAAAGCGTGGATTGTGAGACATCTTATTCGGACATGCCTTCCTATATAAATCTGAAGTGCATTTATCTACGACGACAGTTGGATATTAGGGGCCTTTCATCTGACTGGATACGCCGGTCCTCATCTGAACGAAGTGCATTAGCTCGCGCCTAATGTGTGCAGTACGACTTTCTCAGGTACCTGGGACTCCATGCATCGCTGTAGTAGAATGGGACCTGTAATGGGAGCAAGTCTGTGTTTGACACGCGTAGACGATCCGCTAAGCTTTTACGGCCAGTGCACTTGTTCGTGTGGACACTGTTAAGGAGGAAAAGGACAAAATGCGGCAGATTTTGCGCAAACCAGTGTCACCCTAAGCATTCGCTCACCCATTTCGTAGGCCACACACTAAATGTCGCTTGTGATGCCTGAACTATTGTCATAGCAGGAAGGTACAGAAACGGTCAGATATGATTTTTCTCTGGTGGGATTTATTGCAGAATATTTTGCAATCAGCCCGCAAAGCCCCATCTTAAGCTGGGAGTATCTGGGGTTGGTCTCGGTTCACTAAATATGATAGCTTTTCTGTGAATAGATCGGAACATACGGTAGGACGGAAATGGCAGTATTTGACTGCAAAGCTGCGGAACGCTTAAACATATCAGTTAGTCAGCCTTATTGATATTTGTATGTTGTATTGACAAACAAATGTTTTCGGTCGTTCATCTTCAGTTTGGCACAATGACATAGAAAATAAACCGGTCAGTTATGCGCAGTGTTTATATGGTCCTCCCTATCCCGAGCACCATATAAACGCTGCAAAAAGCTGAACGCTCTATACTACATTTCATTGTACCGGCCTGAAGATGAACGACCGAAGAAACTTTTTGTCAATACGAGTGTCAATTGGGATTTGGAAACGTTTGCAGAAGTAATGATAGCTGTGCACTGTATGTGAATGAAACAGAGCATGCTCATTTGGGTATATATATGAAGCATTTTATGAACTTATGCAGCCAATATTTATCTGTTTATACCCCCATTCTCCAAAGAACAACCAGTGCGCTTTTTAAACATATCTTTGTCTGATGATGCATCATCAGACAAAGCAAAGGGAGATCGGAATGGCCACTTCAGTTCGTGTCGGAACTGTAAATTGAAAATAATTCAATTGAATTATTTCGATGAGTCGATTCAGCTAATTAAGTTTTCCGATCGGACCGTTAAATTCAGCACAATTATCTTATTTGGAACTACGACTGCGTCAGATATTAAACAATTGCAATGATGTACGCACATTCATTAGTAGATAAGAGCAATGCTGCTCGTTCGCTGGACTTATAATTTCATTCATCTGAGCGGACAGTTTTCTTCTTCTCTACATACAAACACATCCGGAATGCGAACATTTGCTTCATTTCTTAGACTTATATGTCCACCTGATCGAAAATATTTCATAAAGTTTTCCGACGGCCCCTATATTTACTTATTCACGAATTTAGTTTCTCCGTGCGTAAAACGTCCCATTTTTAACTGCTACTGATTACACTTGCGGACTCTAAACCATTCTATTTACATAAAATTTGAGAAGGGTTCAAGACGGTGGGTTTGTGGTCGTGCCAACTAACCAACGCAGAGCATTCGTCGATCTAACTGATCATGACAGAAGAGATATAATTTTTTTGAACGCATCATATAAATTGATCGTACATATAACCTATTTTTTTCCACAAAATATCATTTCAGTTATCTGTTTTTCTAAATGCAATTAATGTTATCAACTTGTCTGGTATCCTTCTATTGAAGAACTAGAATTAACTTATGTAAGTTCAGTTACTTTAAGAAGACGACTGTTGACGTGTTCCTGAGTAATATTTTTTCAGACTTTAGGGATAGAATCATTCCAGAATGCCAGTTCACATCTTTGTGAGTTTTAGCAGTAAACGTGCACCGTTAGAGTCTAGCGAAGAAAATACTCTGCACACTATCTACTTTATTTATTATGCGCAGAGTTTCAAAACCCTGCTCAATAAGCGCTCGTAGAAAATTGTTTTCCTTCTTTGCTTTGAGTTGACCCAAGTGTCAAAAACTCTAGGCGTTTGGCGGAATTTGAACCCGCGCATCAGAGAAAGCCTT